TTGCTACTGCTACTGCGACTACTACTCCGACTGCTACAGCCACCATCTCCACCCCTGCCAATGGTCGCAGCAATGAGAGCAGTAGCAATCAGAGGAAGGAAGCTACGATAGCCCCTACCCTAAATCCTAAACCTAAACCCTCAACCCGGAACTCTCTAGTTGTAAGACATGCACAAGGTGTACCACGTGGCTCGGTACGCAAGCGAGCAGTGGCCCCAGCTTCATGCGGGCATTTGTCGCCAGAATGCATGTCGGCATGAGCGTTCTTTGGGATGTCTCGGCTCTGGTTTCATTTTTTGAGGAAAGACTTACCCTAAACCCTGAACCCCTACGCCCTAAACCCTAAACCCCTGAACCCTAACCCCCAAACCCTAAACCCTGAAACCCTGACCCCTAAACTTATCTACGGTCTTTTCAGCCCAGCTCTACAGCCACAAGGCCTCGGTTCTCATGCCTCGAAGCCTCGGATCCTGAACCCTTAGATTTCTTAGCGGGAGAGTAATATAGGGGCTTAAAGAATCACCTACACTAATTTTGGGGGTTCCTTCTTATAAGTATGGTAGAAGATTCCCCAAAACCCTATTCGAATTATTTAGGCCCCTACACCCTAAACCCTTATGGTAGCATTTATAGAACCCTCTAAGGAACCCTTTAAAGGAACCCCCCAAACCCTATTCTAATTAGGATGGTTCAGGCGGTGCAGGCAGACCCAGACTGCGCAGGTTCAAAGTGCCAGTGGTTGCAGATGGAGGCCGGGCACCCAAGGCTTCTTCCTTGGGGTTTAGGGTTTTGGGTTTAGGGTTGGGGAAGTTCAGAATTAAAGCCAAGAGAGCCCAATACCCCTTAATCAAAAGGAATATGCCTTAAATTATAAGGGCCTTAATGTTATGATTTGGGAAAAGGGCCTTAATATTATGATTTAAGGTATATTCCTTAAATTAAGGGGCATTGGGCTCTCTGGGTAAGCTTCCATGGCGCTGAGTTCGCAGGCGTAGCCAACAGTGCTGCTGCGGCAATGGCCCTGGCGTGCGAACCCCAGTAACCCCAGCGCGCCTGCGAGGCTTGCGGTGTTCCACCTAAACCCTAAACCCTAAACCCTAATGAGTATTTTCGTAACCACAATGTAAAACTCCGAAATCTAGAAGTACTTGCAGCAAACACTCGGCCTGGAGCGATCAAGAACCACGAACAGCCTGAAGGCGTGAACCTGCGGCCCTAAACCCCACCACCCACCCTTTGCTTCTTAAAGCTTCGAAGCCTTACATCCCTTGAACTCGGCCCGCCACCCTTACGCCCTGAAACCCTTAAACTTAAGACCCAAGCTACCCTATAAAGCCCTACACCCCGAGACGGGGAATCTTGGCTTTAGGCTGGGTGCTCCTAACCCCTAAGCCCTTAAAACCCTAAACCCTAAAACCCTAAAATCCTAAACCCTAATCCCTGAACCCTAAACCCTAAAACCCTAAAACCCTAAAACCCTAAAGCCCTAAAGCCCTAAACCCAAGACCCTAAAAACCCTGAACTTTAGGCTCGGTGCTTCCACCTTCATGTGTGGCCTTCTGCTGGCCGGAAGCCTTGATCCTTTAGTTTCACATCCGGGGGTTTAGGGTTTAGGGGTT